TACACCAACGCGCAGAGTGCAGAAAAGAAACAGGGAAATCCTAAATCAGGAAAACAAATGAGTTTAGGTGAACATTCCTGAAAAGTCTGCAAAAAGACAGCCAAGCTCAGAGAGCACCAAGGACCCCACAGTTCAACCCTGAGCTGCAAATATACTCCTCTATGGGTACGTTGTTGAAAGTTGGTGGGAAGATACTTAACACTGGCATGTATAGCAGGGCAAAGTAGCAATTTATTCAGATGGAACAAACTCAACAGAAAGGGTGTGGGAGTGTTGAATTAAATGTAAAGAACAAAATATGCTTGTTCAGAAATTGAGGAAAAAGCGTGGAAACCCTGTATAAAATACGTGATTGAAAATATATTATTGATTGATTGATTAAATGTATTTGCCACCTATCTCGCCACAAGGTGTCTCTGGATGGCTTACATCAGACATGTCAAACACAAGGCCCAGGAGCTGGATGCGGCCTGCGAAGTGGTTTCATGTGGCCCGTGAAGCCATCCTGGAAACAGTGAGGGAACGGCCCCCTCTGCCTTGGCCCTGGCCCAGGCCAGGCGGGAGCCAATGTACAATTTTGTGGTGGCCATCTATGCTGAAACGCATTCAGTCTTAGCTCCACAAGGCCGTCTGGAAACAGCGAGGAACCAGGCCCTGCCGTGTCGGCCCCGCCCCCTGGGTGCATGCTGGGGAGGGGTCCCCCTTTGTGAGGAATGAAGAAATGGACCATGCCTTGGCGCTTGCCCTGGTCCCACCCCCTTCTGCCGGAGACCCTCAGATCTGTCCCACTCCTGCCCAGGCCCCCACAGGCACCCTTGACGCCAACGATGTAGAGCTGGCCATACCCACCCAGTAGGCCACACCCACTCCATCCACGCCCACCCAGTAGGCTGCACCCACCCTGGCCACACCCACCCAGCCCTCTGAGGGCAACGGCAATGCTGATGCGGCCCTCAATGAAATTGAGTTTGACACCCCTGGCTTACATTGTTAAAAGAATATTATCTCTAAGAATACAGAGAGAAACAAAAACCAGGATAGGATTATGAGAGTTTATTACCGACAGTTTGGACAGGCAGAAGATAAAGATGGGGTCATGAGGTCATAGGAACATAATTAGGGCCCATCTAGTCCAGCAGTCTGTTCTCACAGTGGCCAGCCAAGCACACAAGAAAGCCCACGAGTCTCCCAGCGGATGGCCTTCAGTGGCTGTCACACGGCCACCAAGGTTAATGGCTATTGATCTATTTGCATTAGATGACCAGCCTTTCAAAGAGGCAGGCAATATTGATAATGGAAAATTTCAATTATCCTGACATCTGCTGGGAATCGGCCAAGCGTCAAAGGTCGAAACAAATTCTTGTTCTCTCTTGCCGACTTCATTTTTCGGAAGATACCGTATTTAAAAAAAGAAAAACAAGGGGATTTGCCAACCCGGATCTAATTCTCACCATCAAGAGTTGAATTGTTTAAAGAAGTGAAAATGACAGGTATCTCGGGGGGGTGGGGGAGAGAAGTGAACACGTTAGCCTTGAATTAATGATATCTGGAGAAAGAGAAAGGAGAAAGAGAGCAGATTTTGATGAACTCTAAGGAAGGAAAGGTCAGTTCCAATGGCCCTGGGATCCCAAGGAAGAAAATTGTACAGGAGGGGTAGGAAGTCCTGCAAAATGACACACTGAAAGAGCAATCGCAAACAATCCCCGCAAGAAAAAAAAAAAAAAAGAGAGAGAGAGAAATCAAAAGAGGCCAAGGTGGGTATGTGCAGAATTCTCTAAAATGCTGAAGAAGAGTAAAAGAATCATATATGGGAAATGAAAGGAGGGGAATAGAAAAAACGAATAGAAAAGTTACCTCCCTCCAGAAATTGTGGGATCTGTCAAAAAAGGCAGAACTGAGAGTGAGGCGAGTCTTTCAAAAGACACCACAAATGATGAATGTGACAGAACTAAAGGAAAAGTAAAAAGACGGTAGATCTTTACAATGGGCCTTTAAAAAATGACTTATGACTGTTTCCCCACACTTATGACACTTTGATCACCTGTGGTCATGTGATCAAAATTCGGGGGCTTGGCAACTGGCACGCATTTATGACGGCTGCTGTGTCCCGATGTCATGTGATCAGCTTTTGCAACCCTCTGACAAGTAAAGTTAATGGGGGAAGCCAGCTTCAATTAACAACTGTGTTACTAACTTAACAACTGCAGTGATTTACTTAACAACTGTGGCAGGAAAGTTCATAAAATGGGGCAAACTCACCTAACAACTGACTTGCTTAGCAACAGAAACTTTGGGCTCCACTGTGGTTTAGAAGTGAGGACTATATATAATAGTGAGAAGGCACGGCGCCAAAACTCCTGATTTTGTATCTGGCTTCTCTTGGAATGGAAAAAAAGCCTGGTTCATTAATTCTATGAACAGGAAGGAAAACCTGAGGAAGATGAGCTCTTACTGTCATTTCCTAGGTCAGTGGTGGCGAACCTATGGCACGCGTGCCAGAGGCGGCACTCGGAGCCCTCTCTGTGGGCACGCGCGCCATGGCCCAGAGATGGCAACCGTCCCTCTTCAACCAGCCGCCTGTTAACTCACTGAGGTCCCACGTGGCCGGATGCATCCCGGCACGGCTGGCTTCCCTCCCCCCATCCCATCCCATCCCATCCCTCCTGGCCTCGCATGCTCTCCTTTTCCTGGGCACGACCCACTGCATCGCCTCCTCAGCTGTCGGACGGCTGTCTAGCTCAGAGGCGGCTTCTCTGAACTGCTGGTGCCAGGCTGCGGAGCCCCAGAGTGCGCCGGTTGAGGGGCCGGCAGGCTGTGGCTGCTGATGGACACTGTCGGCCTCCATGCGCTCGCTGGCCTCTGTGTGCGGGGGCCGATGGTGTCAGGCAGCAGCCGCCCTGGCCCCGGCCTCACCTTGCCCTGCGACAATGGCACCCCCGCCCTGCCTCACCTCACCTCACCCCACAGGACGAGCCTCCTGCCCACCGTCCCACCTGCCAGAGACCCCTGGATCTCCCCCAACCCTGCCCAGCCCCCACAGGCGTCCCTCCCTACGAGCAACATCGAGGTGACCATGCCCACCTTGCCCACACCCACCCAGTCTGCCATGACCACCACAGCCACGCCCACCTGGCACCCGGCGATAAATAAGTGGGTTTTGGGTTGCAGTTTGGGCACTCAGTCTCTAAAAGGTTCGCCATCACTGTCCTAGGTATTATACTATCCCGGTGGCAAAAGGCTCTATGTATTCAATTCAAATACTTATTAAATAGGACCGCTTGGTTAAGCTACGCCAAAGCCAAACAAAACACGGCTTCAATCAAGTGTAGAAATCCAGCCATTATATCCATAATGGGAATTCTTAGATCTTTTTAAGATAGATGCCAATATTATAACCTACATTAAATGCGGCACACTGGCTGAAATGAATTTGCTGAAAGCCAGCCGGTAAATTCAGGATCAAAAGCTGATCAAGAGATTTTTTTCAGTCTGTAGGACAGGCACGCATGCCTGGCTGAGGAATTCTGGGAGTTGAAGTCCACAAGTCATAAAAGGGCCAAGTTTGAAGACCCCCTGCTGTAGGAGTTCACTAACAGAAATGCTAGTAGTACATATGCTGAGAGTTAAGCGGTCATTTTTTAAGATCTGACTGTTCCTATCTTTTGTGAGTCCATGCCAGCCAGTGGACCCGGAGCTGAGTCTGGGGAATCAGAGGAGGAGGAGGGGGGGCCTGGAGAGCCATCAGAGTCGGAGGAAGGCTCTGATGAGCTCCAGGACTTACAATCTGATGAAGAGCCTGACCCCTCCAATCGTGCTCAGGCTGAGACTCAGCTGTGCAGGGAAACCGAGTCAGACTCAAGAGGACTCACAGCTGGAAGACATGATAGACGCTGGCAAACGCAGACAGGCAACAAGAACAGGACAGAGAGAGGCAATGGGGCGACTCCAAGGGAGGAGGAGAAGGCATTGAGCATCCACGCCTCGGGGCTGCATAATAAAAAAGGGAAGATGTGGGCGGTGCTGGTTGTTGAAGGCAACCGTTTGCAAAGGACTCGTTTCAAGGAATCTTGTTTTGTTTGCCTTGCTTGTGAACAATTCTCTGTTGGAATTGCGTTCTGTTTGCCTTGAACAATTCTCTGTTTGCATTGTTTTGTTTGGGACATTTTGCAGGACTGTACCTAATTAATAAAAGGGGTTTGTTTTTCCTGCATTTCCAGCCTACTTAGTAAAAGAGGGGTTTGTCCTTGTGAATTAACGAGGACTCACATAGGCTGGGACAGAACACTATCTAGCCAGTTTTAACTCTTTCCCAGTTAATTGCTCTGGCTGGTAGTAGCTTTCCATATTCTTTATTAGATTTTCATCCCACCTTCATTATCTTTATAAATAAGGCAGTGAACGTATATACTACTCCTTCCTCCTATTTTCCCCACCACAACCCTGTTTTAAGACTTATGGACTTCAACTCCCAGAATTCTTCAGCCAGCTCTGCTAGCTGGGGAATTCTGGAATTTGAAGTCCATAAGTCTTAAAATTGCACTAGACCAACCTCTCAGAGAGAAGTTTCTTTCACCAGCCACTTGATCTATTTAGCCTGTATTGGGAATGGGCTTCTGGATGCCAAGCTTTGGGAAATGAGACTAAACAACCTTGGTGATTTCAATTCATCAAGATTTGATGGTATCAGCTTGAAGAGCTATGGTGGTGCAATGGTTAGAATACAGTATTGCAGGCTAGCTCTGTCCACTGCCAGGAGTTCGATCCTGACCAGCTCAAGGTTGACTCAGCCTTCCGTCCTTCCGAGGTGGGTAAAATGAGGACCCAGATTGTTGGGGTCAAATAGGCTGACTCTGCAAACTGCTCAGAGAGGGCAGTAAAGCATTGTGAAGCGATAGATAAGTCTAAGTTTTCTTGCTAACAGTTAATAAAGTCAGCAAGATTTTTCAAAGAGAATGATAAACAAGGGCAAATTACAGAAATGTGAGCTTTAGTAGTGTGTTTTACCACAATTGTGTTTTTCCGACACCTGGCACTCCGCAGATCTCCGTGATTTTGGTGAGCTGCACACCTCCACCCAGGATGTCATCCAGGGCGGAGCAAAAGGTGACGATGAATCCTTGAATCTGCTCTTTTTCCAACAGTTCCAGGGCTGTACTCTTCTTAACGGCTTCTGCTTCCTCAGAAGTCTTTGCTCCATCGCTTTGCTGCTCCTGTTTGATCACCTTTAAAATTTCTAGAGCATCCTCTTTAGAAAGGCCAATCTCTGGAAAATCAAAATACCGAATATATTAATATAATTTAAAAGAGGCACATTTAGTTAACTAATAGCCACTTAAAGAGGTATCCTTCTTTAGGGAATACCGACAAAGAATGTTCTAGTTAGTTGAAACTTTTAAGTTTTTTTGTTTTGCTGTGGCTGCTACTGGGCAATTGCTTTTTAATTACTACAAATGTTTCAACCTGTTTGTTATTAACTGTTCTTTTTATATACTGATAAATTGCAGTAGAGAAGGGCAGAGCATGAATAAACAACGGGTATGAAGGAAAAATATGAAGCTTTCCCAAAATTAAGTGCCATATATTTTCTTAGGGTTTTGATATATCTAAAAATCCCTTTTATTCCTCATTTTATTTCTGCTTCTTTAAACCCACCCTTTTTTTTTTAATGAAAACTAAAGCATGGTATGATAGCATCACCTTGTGGTCAACTAAGATAACAGTGCATTCCTACAGTGTTGTCCACTGAAAAGCAAAACCCACTGAGTTTATTCTCCAATTTATTTTGTTACCTTAGAAATTAATGTATCTTACATTACAATTTATAAAATGCCATAAAAATCCAGAAAGTGACACAAGATTCTTTGAACTCATGTTATGAATCAACTCCTTCAACATGATGAGTTCCCCTTCTATTCCCTCATTTAAGTCATTGGTGAAGATATTGAAGAGTCCTGGGCCTAAGATGGAGCCTTGTGGTACCCCACTGCTTACTTCTCTCCATGTGGATGTAGTACCATTGAGGACTACTCATTGAGCACGGTTTTCAGCCAGCTACAAATCCATCTGGTGGTGATGTTGTCTATCTATTCCACCTTTTTCTAACTTACCAAGCAGTAGATTGTGATCTAGTTTGTCAAATGCCTTACTGAAATCTAAGCATACTATGTCTACAGTGTTTTGCTGGTCTACTAATCCAGGGCTTTTCAACCAGTGGTACGGGTACCACCTGTGGTACATTGGCACCTGGCAGGTGGTACGCGACCATCCTAGAAAAGTGGTAGCGTGGGAAGGGAATGAGCTGAACCGGTGGCAGCACCGCACAAGCCTGAGCGAGAGACGGCTGGAGCTGCAGGGCTGTCAGGGCTCAGTGGAAGCGCCAGGATCAGCGCCAGGCTCCAGCTGGAAAGCAGCACTGATCCTGGTGCTTCTGCTGAGCCCTGAAGAAGCACCAATCAAGCTGGAATGTTGCAGCATCTCCAGGGTCTTGTGATTTACATTCAGATGCTTGGCCACTGATTCATATTTATGACGGTCACAGTGTCCCAGGGTCATGTGAAGTGACCAAAACCGGCTGCAACCACCCAGCAGACGGGGGGAATAAAAACCAAACACCCCCCACCCCACCCCTGCTGCCAATCCTCAACAGAAATGCTCACAACAATGAAAACCTCGGACAGGAGGAAGAGCGCGGCCGGGTGGGCAGGCAGGTGTCTTGCTCGGCTGTGGCTTGGGGGGCACTTTTTTCAGTGCCATTGTAACTTCGAACAGTCACTAAGCGAACTGTTGTAAGTCGAGGACTACCTGTACTTTATCACTTTTTCCCCTTTTTTTGGTCATCAAGTTTTTGACACCTTGTTAGGCGACTGGTGGTACTTGGATATTGCCATATCCTAAAAGTGGTACAATGGGTGAAAAGGTTGAAAAGTCCTGTACTAATCTGGTCACTTTATCAAAGAACGAGATAAGATTGGTTTGGCATGATCTGTTTTTAACAAACCCGTGCTGGCTACAGGTTATAACTTTGTTTGCTTCTAGTTGATCTGTTTTTTGATTATCTTTTCCAGGATCTTCCCAGGTATTGATGTTAGACTGATTGGTCTGTAGTTTCCTGGGTCTGTTTTTTTCCCTTTCTTGAAGATGGGAACCACATCAGCCCTTTTCCAATCCTCAGGTAATTCCATGGTGCTCCAGGATTTTTGAAAGATGTGATGTAATGGTTCTGAGATAACTCTGGGATGTAATCTGCCGGGTCAATCAAAATTATACACTGCCCATCTCACTATTGTATAATATACAACACACACGGAGTTCTACTCATAGGCAATACAAGAGAATTTTAGGGAGAGAGAATGTTATACAAAGTTATGCATGACAAAATGCCTAGTTATTGTTTTTAATACCAACCCAGGATATATGTTTAGCTAGTCATCTTCTAGGGAAGGGGTCTCCAACCTTGGTAACTTTAAGACTTGTGGACTTCAAGTCCTAGAATTCCTCAGCCAGTTTGGCTGGCTGAGGAATTCTGGGAGTTGAAGTCCACAAGTCTTAACATTGTCAAGGTTTGGGGACCTCTATTCTAGGGGAGATGGGCGCCATAGAGATTTAATAAATAAAGCAAAGTAAATAGATGAGCACTAGTTGTGAATCTGCCCCCCCCTGGAGACCCCCCAACCCCATTTAAGGGGTACAAAAAAAAAATATCCTCCTCCACCACACAAAGCTCCGGCCGACAAGGTATGGGATGGTTAAATCCTGTCAAAGAAAAGGCGATTTCGGTTTATCGAGGCCCAGAAACCCATCCGAGTTCCAAACTTTTCCCCGAAAAAGACACCAAGCGCTCCAAAGGACGGAGGACAAGAAGGCGACCATTAAACCTCCCTCAGGAGGTGGTCGTGAGGAAGGAACCGAAGAGCAAAGCTCAGCTCGGCCCAAATTGGCGAAGTTTTTTTCTTTGGGCGGGAAAACCGGTTTCCCTCAGCCGGCCGCGATACCTTTGCTCAGCTGGCAAGGCCCGACCTCCAGCACCTCCTGGGCCGTCTGGAAACCGGCGGCCGTTAGCTTCGCCCGCCAAGCCGGCGCCAAGGGGAAGGTGCCCAAATCCCTGAGCTCCATGAGGGAAAACAGCGGGCACCGTCCATGCTTCCCCGCCTTCCTGAGGCGATGGACTTCAACTCCCAAGAAGCCTCGCGGATAGCGCGCCTGCGCCGAAGAAAGAATTCAGGGGGCGGGGTTACAATCCAGCCACTTGCGGGGGCGGAGGGCTTTCGCTTTGGGACGGCCGGAACGAGCATGCGCCGGCTGGGGAGGATTCTGGGAGTTGAAGTTCAATCCCTTGAGGAAGGGGACAGCTTCTCGACAGGCTCACTCGAGAGGATTCTGGGAGTTGAAGTTCAGACACTTGACGGTGCTGGAGAGGATTCTGGGAGTTGGTCAAACGATGGGCAGGCTCACCATTTGCTCAATGCAGGGGTCTTCAAACTAGGCCCTTTTATGACTCACGGACTTCAACTACCAGAATTCCTCAGCCAGGCATGCTGGCTGAGGAATTCTGGGAGTTGAAGTCCGTGAGTCATAAAAGGGCCCAGTTTGAAGACCCCTGGCTTAGTGACTAAATTACAATGGCACTGGAAAAAGTGACTGATCAGCATTTTTCACACTTATGAACGTTGCAGCAGACCCAAGGTACTTGTGATCAAAATTCAGATGCATGGCAAGTAACTTGTACTTATGACAGTTGCAGTGTCCTGGGAGGGTCATGTGATTACTTTTTTGCAGGGTTCTGAAAAGTAAAGTCAATGGGGAAGCCAGATTCGCTTAATGACCGTGTTACCAACTTAACAACTGGAGTGATTCACTTAACAGCTGTGGCAAGAAAGGCTGTAAAATGGGGCAAAATTCACCTAAGAACTGTGGCTTAGCAATGGAAATTTTGAACTCAATTGTGGTCGTAACTCAAGGATTTGCCAGTACTTTGTGTGGATGCAAAAAAAAACAAAATAGCTGACTAACCGTCATCGAACGTCCTAGTGCACAATCGCTTAAATATGAGCCAGCCGTGTGCTGCAGCTGCCAAAAAAGCCAACACAGTTCTAGGCTGCATTAACAGAAGGATAGAATCAAGATCACGTGAAACGTTAATACCACTTTACAAGGCCTTGGTAAGGCCACACTTGGAATACTGCATCCAGTTTTGGTGACCACGATATAAAAAAGATGCTGAGACTCTAGAAAGAGTACAGAGAAGAGCAACAAAGATGATTAGGGGACTGGAGGCCAAAGCATATAAGGAACGGTTGCTGGAATTGGGTATGTCTAGTTTAATGAAGAGAAGGACGAGGGGAGACATGATAGCAGCCTTCCAATAACTCAAAGGTTGCCACAAAGAAAAGGGGGTCAACATATTCTCCAAAGCACCTGAAGGCAGGACAAGAAGCAACGGATGGAAACTAACCAAAGAAAGAAGCAACCTAGAACTAAGGAGAAAATTCCTCACAGTGAGAAAAAATTAAACAGTGGAACAACCTGCCTCCAGAATCTGTGAATGTTCCAACACTGGAAGTTTTTAAGAAGAGACTGGACAGCCATTTGTATGAAATGGTATAGGGTTTTCTATCTGAGCAGGGGGTTGGACTAGATGACCTCCAAGGTCCCAACTTTACTACTACTACTACTACTGTTGTTATTGTTGTTGTTGTTATTATTATTATTGAGGCGCTAAATTGGATTGGCCCCTGGATGAGGAACAGTCCAGGTAACAATGAAAGCAAAAAGCAAAAAAATATGCAAGACTTCAAATCTGACTGAACTCTTCCCCTTAGAGAAAATCCTTGTGGCTTCCACAAGTTTGCTCCATTCATTCAAAAAAAAAAAATGCAGGATTTTGAGTCCTTTCCACCTTCTCTGATTCAACTGGACTCGATAACCCATGATTTTCAAGCGTCCTCTCCCAAAAATTCTCACCTGGCCCATACTTGGCATTCAAAGATAGAGCTGGGCTGAATATGGAAGCTCTACGTAAGCCTCGGTCTCTCTCACACACATGGGTCTAATTCCCTAGCATAGGGAATTCTCTATCCCAGGGGATATACTGCTCCTGACCACTGAGGCTTGGCTATCATCATTATCATAATTCAACAGTTTATCCAGTTCTGATCCTCCAAAGCTCATCCTGAACATTATAAACAAGGGCTTTTCAACCAGTGGTACGGGTACCACCTGTGGTACATTGGCACCTGGCAGGTGGTACACAACCATCCTAGAAAAGTGGTAGTGTGGGAGGGGAATGAGCTGAACCAGTGGCAGCACCGCAGAAGCCTGAGCGAGAGACGGCTGGAGCTGCAGGGCTGTCAGGGCTCAGCGGAAGCGCCAGGATCAGTGCCAGGCTCCAGCTGATCGGCACTTCTTCGGGGCTGTCAGGGCTCAGCAGAAGCGCCAGGATCAACGCCAGGCTCCAGCTGGATCTCAAGCGCTGATCCTGACGCTTCTGCTGAGCCCAGAAGAAGCACCGATCAGCTGGAATGTTGCAGCATCTCCAGGGTCTTGTGATTTATATTCAGATGCTTGGCAACTGATTCATATTTATGACGGTCACAGTGTCCCAGGGTCATGTGAAGTGACCAAAACCTGCTGCAACCACCCAGCAGACGGGGGGNGGGGGGAATAAAAACCAAACACCCCCCACCCCACCCCCGCTGCCAATCCTCAACAGAAATGCTCACAACAATGAAAACCTCGGACAGGAGGAAGAGCGCCACCGGGTGGGCAGGTATCTTGCTCGGCTATGGCTTGGGGGGCACTTTTTTTCAGTGCCCTTATAACTTCGAACAGTCACTAAGTGAACTGTTTTAAGTCGAGGACTACCTGTACTTTATCACTTTTTTCTGGGGGGTTTTTTTGGGGGGTCATCAAGTTTTTGACACCTTGCTAGGCGACTGGTGGTACTCGGATGTCGCCATATCCTAAAAGTGGTACAATGAGTGAAAAGGTTGAAAAGCCGTTATAAACCACCGAAGAATCCGTTGACTAGTTAAGATTAGGATATACATTTAATAAATAAAAATGTGATAATTGATGTTTTATTATTGACGTGTTCTCGTCATGTTCTTTTTCATTGTTTATTGTTTATTTTACTTCATTTTTTAATTCAAGAAAATTAAAACACAAAACCCAAAGGGGGGGGGAAAATCACATTTTTTCCCTTTTTCACGTTCTTGTCTAGCTTCGTTTTTACTATTTTGCTTCCCTTCCGTTTCCACTTTCTCTCACTTTTCTTCCTTTTCATGATTTATAAGCCGCCTAGAGAGAGTAGCCCCCCTAGGGTGAGACAAGCGGCAAATAAATTTAACAATTAATTAATAAAATATATTTTTTTTTTTAAAAAAAAATCCCGGTTCCCCAAAAGGTGGTGCAATCCCATTCCCAACGGCTTTCCCGTGCAAACACAAACCCCAGGATGCAATTTTTGCAAGCTCTCCGGAGGGGGAGGGGACGGGTGCGTGGAAGCGCCCCCCCCCATTTTGCGCTGTTCCCTCCTCCTTCCCGCCCCCCCTCCTCTGCATTTAACGCAGTGGGGAGAACGCGGTGACGGCATCCGCCGGCCTCAACTGAATTCCTCGGCAGTTGAAAAAAGCAAAAGTCGGCCGCCGAGGTGGGTTGGTGTGTGCCCCGCGGGGGTCGCGGGGCAGATGAGGTTTCTCTGCGGGAACGGGGGTCGTGGAGTGGGGGACGAAGGGGGGGCAAGTGGGGGCGCAGATCGACCCGACATCTAAGGAGGTCTGCGGTGGGGGGGGAGGAGAGAGAGAGGAGGGGGGCTGTCGGCGCACGCGGAACCCCAAGCTTTGAACCCAAGTCCGGGAAGTGAACAGCCCTAGAGAGGAAAAATCCGAAATGATGAAGGTGGGGAGGGGGCCGCCATCCGTAGTAAATTTCTCCAAATAGAAATGTTCATCTCTCTCCTGATCAGCGGAATAACTGAGGCCAGAGTCGTTTGGGATAGTGAGATAGATGGGCGGGTATAAATGTGATTGATTGATTGATCCATTGATTGGGAGAGAGGGGGGATAGATAGATAGATAGATAGACAGATAGACAGATAGACAGACAGACAGACAGACAGACAGACATGAAGAGAGACAAGATGGATGGATGGATACGGAGAGATGGATAGAGATATGTGGATGATGGATGGATGGATAGATAGACAGATGATAGATATGGAGAGATGAATGGAGAATGGATGGATGGATACAGAGAGATGGCTAGAGAGATGGATGGATGGATATGGAGAGATGGATAGAGATAGATAGGTTTGGAGAGATGGATAGAAAGATGTGGATGATGGATGGATGGATAGAGAGAGATTGACAGATAGAGGATTGATAGAGAGATGGAGAGATGAATAGAGAAAGATGGATGGATAGATATGGAGAGATGAATAGAGAAGATGGATGGATGGATATGGAGAGATGGATAGAGATGTGGATGATGGACAGAGATAGATTTGGAGAGATGGATAGAAAGGTGTGGATGATGGATGGATGGATGGATAGAGAGATATTGACAAATAGGTAGATGATAGAGGTATGGAGAGATGAATAGAGATGGATGGATAGATATGGAGAGTTGGATAGGGATATGAATGATGGATGGATGAAGAGAGAGATTGACAGATAGATGATAAGAGATATGGAGAGATGAATAAAGAGATGGATGGATAGATATGGAGAGTTGGATAGAGATGTGTGGATGGATAGATTATAGACGATAGATGTGAAGTGAGAGAGAGATGTGGATGGGTGGATGGATGGATAGAGAGAGACACTATATATGCATGGATGATTGGAGATGGATACACCAATCCTTTTTTTATTAAAAGGCTAAACTTTCTTAATTTATTGAATTAAATTTCACGATTTCATTAAAAGGCGTAAGATCAGGAAAGCTTCGACCTTTGAATTAAATAGATAAACCCTCTAGATTAACACTCTGGATATTTTATAAGGACGTACTGGGATATTAATCTAGCGATTGCAACCAAACCCTCATTCTAGGCTGCTTTTATTTTTTTGCCCGTGACAGCAATTCTTTTATAATTTTCTCTTAATTTACTTCCTTGGTCTTTCAGAAGGATAGTTTGAGTCCCGCCCCGCCCCCCGCCCCTTTCCCTTCGCACGTCTACACGTGCGCTCTAAACCCCTCGCGAGGGAAAAAAAATGGGTTCATCCAAACGACACAAGAGACCCCCGACGCGTCCCTGGAAGCTCCCCACTCTGTCGTCCTCAAGGGTAGGAATGGATAGTCGCACGCAGACACGGGTTAGATGGGTTCACACGACCTAGAGGTCCACATCGCGACGTGGAAGCTTGCAAAAGGGATGGGTTTTTAGAGCAAGTGACATGGTCTCCCTCCCCCCCCCCGCAGGGACGGAGGTCTGGGGGGGGGGGAACTCCTTCTTAACGTCTCTTTCCCGCAGGGAGCATGGCCCATACCCTTCCCATTCCCTGCCCGGTCAAACTCGGGACCGTGAAACTCGAGAGCCCCGAAGCTCGTCTGCACGACTACGTCAAGCAGGGCAACTACGTCAAAGTGAAGAAGCTGCTCAAGAAAGGTAATCCGCGCGTGCAAACGGGGAGGCGAGTGTGCGCTTTGCGCTCGTTTTCTTGCAAACGAGGTTTTTCGCCTTGCAAACTTTTCACGGGTCTCAATCGGCCCCAGGCGCGTCTGTTTCTTCCAAAAGGCGTTTTGTCTAGGAAAGACGCGTGAAATGCACTCAGACACGGGTGCATCGTGGGTTGTTCTTTTTTTTTAACGAGCTCGTGGAAGCGGAGATGGCCTTGCACGCGGGCCTTGCACGCTTTTTCGCTGCAAAGCTGCAAGGTGGATTTTGGCGGAGCGTTTGGCGCGCGGCCCGGTTCGGGACCGATGCAAACGTTTGCACGGCGTAGCCGGCGCTGGATGCATCCTCCGGACCTCCCACCCCCCGCCTTTGCCCGGGCCCCAATTAGAATCTGCTGGGGCATTTTCCATTATTTTATTTTTTTTTGCATTTGAACGCGTAAGTCCCGAGTTACAGCGAAGGTTAGAAGAAAAAAAGGGGTTTGGAAGGATTGTAAGGACGCGGAGTCCGCAGACTGTAAACCGGACACCGTCCTGGGCCGAGATTTACACCCGTCATCGCTTAATATAGGATGCACCCCAGGGGTGATCAAACGTCGTGCGAACGGAAGGTGGCGATAGGTTGACAGTCTCCAACTATAACGTGATTCCCCCCTCCCTCCTTTTTAATATGTCTTACTTTGGGGATAGTTACCCAGCTGAGGTCTTAAGTACTTTTATATGAATCCAGGTGCAGAAAAAAGTTGTCTGAATGGTTGACTTTCCTAATTGCCCATTGCTAATCCGAATTGCACCCAATTCTGCCTCCTTGGCTTTGCTTGCAACGCTTTGCAATACTACAAGTTGCAGCCATTTGTCTGAAATGTATAGGGTTTCCTGCCTGAGCAGTGGGTTGGACTAGATGACCTCCAAGGTCCCTTCCAACTTTTTTATTATTTCAGCTATAGTTTCATTCCATACAGCATTAACCTTGTGAACTCTCAAGCTTCCTCCTTCCGTTATATATTCAAGATGGACAGTATTTAATATTTGTTACGTGGGTCTATATGTTGTGTATATAGTATGTTTTAGGTGTGTGTCATATATGTGTTTTACTTTGAGAGCGGGCAACTATATTTAATTTTTTGATGTGTGCCGTTGTGCCCACAGTAAAAAAAATGACAATAAAGGTTATCTTTTATCTTACTATTATTAAAGTTCAGGAGCGTCCATTAACCATAGACGCGGGCATAGGAGGAAAGCTTGGTAATTGAAACGAGTAAAGCTCCTCCTCCAGGTGGAGCGTGATTGGTTGTCCGTTTCCCCTATGCAAATCTAAAAAAAAACGAAACCCAGGAGGCTTATGGGCTCGCTCGGATTGCTATCAATATACGTTCTGGAACATATTTTTCCAAATAATTTCCGCGGGGATTTTAGGAATGTATGATTGGCTGTGGAAGGAAACAAGGCCGCCGACCCGTGTTCGTGGTTCGGGAGGCGGTCGCTGTGACCTGAAGAGGGGTGGCTGCGGATGAGGCCGTGGAGTCGCGAAATGACCCATTAAGACTATACTTTCAGGGATCATTTCTATAGTATCCAACTAGAGAAATGCACTCGAAAGTGATCGGCTGAGCGAACCACGAGGAGGAGGCGTAGCGTTCTCTCCTGAGCGCGAAGCGGGCAGACGGTGCTACTTCACGTAGCTGCCTTCTGCTATTGATGACCGTTCCGCCTCTTCATTGCGAAGAGGTTGGAGGGAGAGGACGCAGTCTGAGTGGTTCGCTCGCTTTCCCACCCCCTTTTTTTAACTAAGTAAAATGAAAGAAAATTTTTCCCGTCGTATTCTCGTGTATAGTTTTCACGCGGTTGCGTTCCCACGCTCTCCGAATTTCCTTTTTTTCTGATGGAGGAGAAGCGGGTTTGCACGTGTTGAGCATCAAGCTTTCCTTGTCGCTTAAGGATTTTCTGTTCTTTTTTAGTAATTATTTTATTGTAGTAAACCTGCACAGACCTCTGCAATAATTCAGGAAAAATTCACTTTTCACTGGATATTTTTAATCCCCTCAATTTTTAAGATGCTGGGACTATACTTTCAGGATCATTTCTATAGTATCCAACTAGAGAAATGCACTCGAAAGTGATCGGGCCCTGTTTTTGCCACATGGGTACTAGTGCTGCCCTGTTTTTGCCACGTGGTGCCATTTAGGCCCCATGGTGCCCTGTTTTTGCCACACGGATCCCCATTTAAGCCACGTGGATCCCCGTTTAGGCCACATGGAGCCCCATGTAGGCTACGAGGAGCCCCGTTTTGGCCACGCGGAGCCCCGTTTAGGCCTCATGGCGCCCTGTTTTCATCGCACAGAGCCCCATTTAGGCCGCATGGAGCCCTGTTTTCATCGCGTAGAGCCCCATTTAGGCTGTCCAGAGCCCCATTTAGGCCGTGCGGAGCCCTATTTAGGCCACATGGTGCCCTGTTTTCATCGTGCAGAGCCCCGTTTAGGCTGTCCAGAGCCCCATTTAGGCCGTGCGGAGCCCTGTTTAGGCCACATGGCGCCCTGTTTTCATCGCACAGAGAGAGCCCCATTTAGGCAGCGCGGAGCCCCGTTTAGGCCGCACGGAGCCCTGTTTACGCCATGCGGCCATGGGGCTAGCACGAGTGAGGATGAGTAGGCGCACTGGCCAGCCTGTCCCGTAGCCCGGTGGCCAGGAGGCCATGGCCCACAGGTTGGAGACCCCTGGCTTAAGGCACTGTTTCTCAACTGCGGCAACTTTTAAAAAGTGTGGACTTTAACCCTTACTGGCTGGGGAATTCTGGGAATTGAAGTCCATACGTCCTTAAAGTTCCCAAGTTTGAGAAACACTGGTAGTGGGATAAGCTGTGTTAGCGGTAACGATGTGGAAGTGTTTTGATGTCTTTCAAAAACTCTCAGAGCATCTTTTTTTTTTTGAAGAACCCACAATTTGCCAGATCCACATGGTGCATTAAGGTACACACCCTGTTTACAACTCGTAATGCTAAATAAAGATCAAACCCAATGAGGGTTTTAAGGGTTTGGGGAATTAAGATCTAGTATGTTTGCAAAAAAAAAAAAAAAGTTGGCTTTGTGATCATAGGATGCCTGTTTATTTATTTATTAAATGTATATGCTGTACATCTCACTATCCAAAGTGACTCTAGGCAGTTTACAATATAAAAAAATAAATCATAAATATCTAAACCAGGGGTCTTCAAACTTGGCCCTTTTATGACTTGTGGACTTCAACTCCCAGAATTCCTCAGCCAGGCACGCTGGCTGAGGAATTCTGGGAGTTGAAGTCCACAAGTCATAAAAGGGCCAAGTTTGAAGACCCCGATCTCCCTTCCTTCCGCCGCGCCCTCAAGACGTGGTTGTTCCAGCTCGCAGGACTGGCCTAAGGAATTTTAAAGGGGTTTTAATTACTTTTAAATTTGACGTATTTAAATATTTCTTTTTAACCAATTTTTAATTAGATGTATATGTTAGTATTTTAATCATTGTCAGCCGCCCTGAGTCCGCAAGGGATATAAATGCAATTATAAATAAATAAATAAATAAATAAATAAACGTTGACTTAGGTCGAAATTGCATTACATTCTCCCTCCTTCCAGCCGTTTGCAACCCTGTGTGACAACTTAAGGAGCGTTTATTCCGATAAACACGTGCATAGGACGAGGACTTAGCAAATGAAGCGGATAGCAGCTTGTTTAAGGAAATAGACGCAGCTCTCATTTGAAAGGAATTCTCTCACCTGCAGTCTTTCGGCAGTGAAATAGTTAACAGCGTCCTATCGAGAGTGACGCTTTGCAGGACCCGCCTTTTCCGGACGTGTATCTGAGCCCCTGAGTAAAGAAGCTCCTCCTCCAGGTGACGCGTGATTGGTTGTCCCGTTCCCCGATGCAAATCTAAAACCAGGAGGCTTATGGGATCTCTCGTTTTGATAACAATATATGCTTTGGAACAGTGGTTTTGTAAATAAATTAATCGGGGTGTTCGAAATTGTATTACTGGCTGTGGAAGGAACGAAGACCGCGAAGCCCTGTTTGTGTTTAGGGAGGCGGTCGCTGTGACCTGAAGACGGGTGGCTGCGGGTGAGGCCGTGGAGTCGCGGAAGGATCCATTAAGACTATACTTTCAGGGATCATTTCTATAGTATCCAACTAGAGAAATGCACTCGAAAGTGATCGGCTGAGCGAACCACGAGGAGGAGGCGTAGCGTTCTCTCCTGAGCGCGAAGCGGGTAGACGGTGCTACTTCTTGTAACTGCCGTCTGCTATTGATGACCGTTCCGCCTCTTCACTGCGAAGAGGTTGGAGGGAGAGGACGCAGTCTGAGTGGTTCGCTCACTTCCCCACCCCCTTCTTTTAAGCAGAGTAAATAATAAAAAATCTTTAAAATTCGTTTTGTAAGCAAGTGGTAATCTTAGTATTAGTATTAGTCATCTCTTTCTAGAAAATCTCCATGAGTAACTGTCGCCCAATCTCCAGTCTGAGAATTTTAGTCTCACCTTAGCCTTGAAAGGTGATTGGGTAATTTTTGGGCCAAACAGCAGTAGAGTTGTGAAAGGTGAGATAGAGTTCTAGTCCCACCATAGCCATTAAAGCTGACTGATGATTTTGGGTCAATCACCATGAGACTGTGAGTTCTAGTTCTGCCTTAAGCATGAAAGCGACTGAGTGACTTTGGGCCAGTCACCAGGAGTCTGTGAGTTCTAGTCCCGCCTTAGCTATGAAAGCCAGCTGGGTCACTTTGGGGCCAGTTCCTGTCTCAGCTCAACTCACCTCACAGGGTGGTTGTGGGGAAAATAGGAGGAAAAGGAAACTAATCAAGGAGAGAAGCAACCTAGAACTAAGGAGAAACTTCCTGACAATTAACCAGTGGAACAGCCTGTCTCCAGAAGTGGCGAATGCTCCAACACTGGAAGTTTTTAAGAAGAGACTGGACGGCCATTTGTCTGAAACGGTATAGGGTTTCCTGCCTGAGCAGGGGGTTGGACCAGATGACCTCCAAGGTCCCTTCCAACTTTTTTTTTTTTATTATTATTATTATTATTATTATTATTATTATTATTATTATTATTATTATTATGTTTGCCACCTTGAGTTATTTATACAGAACAATAAATTTCAGGATAGAAATAAATTTGGTTCAGCATGTTGTATTCACAGAATGCTTAGTTTCAAATATGGTTAGATTTGCGATCTTTGTCATCCTTGCAATGTGTTCAGCTTGCTGGTTTCTGAATCATTCCTCTTAATAGTAAATTATTTAATCTACATAGCAATTTATTATTTCTCCCCATGCCAATTCTGGCCATCTAAGCTATTTTTCTAATTCCCAATTTTGTGCCTGGTTTCTTGATTCCTTTCCTCCTGTTGTTTGGCTTAGTTCATTGCAAAGGGTGAACTAAGTTCATTTCCATTCCTGGGGGCTTCAGTCTGTTTCATTTATTAAATTATCCCCCCCCCTTCGACACAGACACACTCCAGAAGACAAATATTCAATTCCTTGGCCTTTGCAGTTGATTTTTCCCTTCCTTTTGTTCATAATACATAAGAGAGAGCATCCTGTTTGGAAAGGACTTTTCTGAAAACATGTATAGGATTTCAAAAAAAACCTGGTTTCAGATTATGGAAGGGAAAAGCAAGGACTGACAGGAAGTGTGGCTACCCACGTCTTTTACACCGGTTTGGTGAATCGATCTCAGCAAATGGAGGTGTGTGAACTGTAGCAAAGGATTTGAGTGTGCTTCTGTCTCCCTCCCTAAATAAGATAATGGAGAAGGAGTGGCACAACCTGGTGGCGGAGTCAAAAGAGGAATCAGCCTAGCCCTAGAATCCTTACATGGTCACAAGTAAACTTGGTTCAATTCCCTTGAATTCCGCTAACCCTTATTTAACTCTAACCAGGTGCTAACTATTATAGGAACAAATCAGTTTAATTAGACCTTCACCTCTAGACCTGGTAGTTTGCTCCTGACAGATACCAATCTTTGACCAAATAGTATTTTTGATTTGGGAAAGAAGGGGACCCTGTTCTATTGTTTTTTTGTGTGTATCCCACCTTTATTTTTTTTTTAACAAATAATTCAAGGTGGTGAACATATCCAACATATACCTTCCTCCTCTTTTTCTCACAACAAAGACCTTATGGCATGGGTTGGACTGAGAGTGACTGGCCCAAAGTCACCGAGTCAGCTTTCATGCCTAAGGCAGGACTAGAACTCACAATCTCCTGGTGACTGGCTCAAAGTCACTCAGCTGGCTTTCATGCCTGAGGCGGACTAGAACTCACTGAAATCACCCAGCTGACTTTCATGCTTAAAGTGGGACTAGAATTCAGTCTCCTGATGATTGGCCCAAAGGCACCCAGCTTGTTTTCGTGCCTGAGGCGGGACTAGAACTCACAGTCTCCTGGTGACTGGCTCAAAGTCACTCATCTGACTTTTGTGCCTGAGGCGGGACTAAAATTCACAGTCTCCTGATGATTGGCCCAAAGGCACCCAGCTTGTTTTCGTGCCTGAGGCGGGACTAGAACTCACAGTCTCCTGGTGACTGGCTCAAAGTCACTCATCTGACTTTTGTGCCTGAGGCGGGACTAAAATTCACAGTCTCCTGATGATTGGCCCAAAGGCACCCAGCTGGCTTTCGTGCCTGAGGTGGGACTAGAACGCACAGTCTCCTGGTGACTGGCTCAAAGTCACTCAGCTAACTTTCATGATTAACGCGGGACTAGAATTCACAGTCTCCTGATGATCACTCAGCTGGCTTTCATGCCTGAGCAGGACTAGAACTCACGGTCTTCAGCTTTCTAGCCTGGTTTCTTACCCAAAGCTAGATCAAACTGGCTGATATGTATAAGTTAAAAAATATGTCAAAAACATAATAAATCATATTCCCGTGACCTCAGGATGGCCTTAGGTGCTGAGCACCCCAAATGAAATCATGTGACTATAGAAAGGGGTGCTGGCCACTGGAATTTTGAATCCGGATCATAAGTACATTTTTGGCGGGGTCTGTCGGAACTTTGAATGGTCACTAAGCGAGTTGTCGTAAGTCGAGGACTGACCTGTGTACTTCACTCTATGTTCCAATCAGGGAGAGACATGAATGGTTGGGTGGGCAGTGGATGATGGGAGCTGACGTCCCAAGAAAATCTTGATGAAAATGGTATACGTTTC